ACACACACACACACACACACACACTCAAGAGGAGTCTGTACGAGCGAGGCCGTATCTCTCGGTGCGCTGTTCAGCACGTTCCGTAATCGCTTGTTTCTGATGAAGCAACTCATGCAGCCGATGGCTGCGGCGTACAACCCCAAGGAGGTTGAAGGCGAGTGGTATGAGTGGTGGGAAAACTCCGGCTTCTTCCATCCCGCGACGGACATGGGTCGCAAGTACAACGGCAATAATTTTGTCATTGTGTCACCTCCGCCGAACGTCACCGGTCATCTGCACCTTGGCCACTCGCTCACCGGATCCGTGCAGGACACACTCATCCGCTTTCACCGCATGAAGGGCGACAACACTCTGTATGTCCCTGGCACCGACCACGCAGGTATTGCCACGCAGGTGGTCGTTGAGAAGCGCCTCATGCGAGAGCTCGGTAAGTCACGTCACGATCTGGGCCGTGAGGAGTTCCTGAGGCGCGTCTGGGATTTCAAGGAGAACCACGCTGGCATAATCACCCGCCAGCTGCGGCAGATTGGCCTGAGTCTTGATTGGACGCGCGAGCACTTCACCATGGATAATCACTGCGCGGGTGCGGTGGTTGAGGCCTTTGTGAAGCTTCACGAAGACGGCCTGGTGCACCGTACAACGCGCCTCGTCAACTGGTGCTGCGCCCTGCAGAGCGCCATCTCAGATCTGGAGGTGGAGTTCACTGACGTGCCAAAGAACTCTAAACTGGCGATCCCTGGGTACGACAGGAAGGTTGACATGGGTGTCCTGACACATGTGGCCTATAAGTTTGTGGACAGCGATGATGAAATCATCATCGCCACCACACGTCCAGAGACAATACTTGGTGATACTGCTGTTGCGGTTCACCCAGATGATGAACGCTACAAGAAGTACCATGGCAAGCGCCTTAAGTGCCCTTTCCGCGACGACACGATTCCTTTGATTCTTGACCCTATCCTGGTTGACGTGAACTTTGGCACAGGCGCAGTGAAGATAACCCCATCGCACGATCCAAACGATTTCGAGGCCGGTGTGCGACACAATTTGCCGCAGGTGACAATGATGGACTTGCATGGCAACGTTTGCATCGATGGTCCATTTAAGGGGATGCATCGGTTTGACTGCCGACGCGAGCTTGTGAAGGCGCTTGAAACTATGGGCCTTCTGCGTGATGTTGTCCCATACGAGTACCGTGTTGGCCGCTGCAGCCGTACAGGCGACATTGTAGAGCCGCTCCTGATGCCACAGTGGTTTGTGGACTGCAGTGACATGGCCCGAAGGGCTGTGGAGGCAGTGCGCAACAAGGACTTGCGCCTGTACCCGTCTTCGCACGAGGCGGTGTGGTACCACTGGCTGGAGAATATCAAGCCATGGTGTGTGTCGCGTCAGCTGTGGTGGGGCCATCGTATCCCTGCGTACAAGTGCACTGGTTCAGTGCCAGCCAATCACGAGGACCCGTGGGTGGTTGCTCGCAACGTTGCGGAGGCGAAAACGAAGGCCCGCGCGAAATTCAACCTCAGCGACGCGGAGGTGGAGCAGCTCGTGCTGGAGCAGGACCCGGACGTGCTCGACACCTGGTTCAGCTCTGCTATGTGGCCCTACTCTACCCTCGGCTGGCCGGGTGACACGGATGACATGCACAAGTTCTTCCCAGGGAATCTGATGGAAACGGGGCATGACATTCTCTTCTTCTGGGTTGCCCGTATGGTGATGACTTCTCTCCACTTCACAGGGAAGCTTCCCTTCAACGAGGTCTTTCTGCACGCCATGGTGCGAGACAAAAATGGAGAGAAGATGAGCAAATCAAAGGGCAACGTCATTGATCCACTCTTCATCATCAATGGTATCTCCCTCGAGGGGCTGCACGCAACGGTGACGAATGGAAACCTTGACGAAAAGGAGGTCCCCAAGGCACTAAAACTGCAGAAGGATACATTTCCAAAGGGCATTCCGGAGTGCGGTAGCGATGCGCTGCGTTTTGGTCTTCTCTCTTACACTCAGTCGGGGCGCAGTGTCAATCTTGATATCGACCGTATTGTCGCCTACCGGCAGTTCTGCAACAAACTGTGGAATGCTGTGCGGTACGTCCTTTACCACGCTCTGGGAACGGAGTACACGCCGAACATGACCGTTTTTAATCCCGCCAAGGCAGAGGATCTTTCTCTGGAGTGCCGCTGGATTCTTTCCCGCCTCGACGTCGCGGTGGAAGAATGTACGCGTGGGTTTTCGGAAGGATCCTACGACTTTGCCCTCTCCACCAACGCTGTGTACCGCTTCTGGTTGTATGAGTTGTGCGATGTCTTCCTCGAGCTCACGAAGCCAATCATTCAGGGTGGAGGTGAGAAGAAGCAGCTGGTACAAGATGTGCTGCTGTATGTGGTGGAAGTGGCACTCCGTCTGTTGCACCCGATGATGCCCTTCCTCACAGAGGAGCTGTGGCACCGCCTCCCGCACTACAGCACCTTCGGCATTGAGAGCATCATGCTCGCACCGTATCCTGTTGTGGCTGGGTGGAAGAACGACACGGTGGAGGAGCAGATGAAGCTGCTGCTCGATACTGTGCACTCTGTGCGCTCCATCAAGGCATCCTACTCTCTCACCAACAAGCACAAGCCGGATGTGTGGCTCACTGCTCGCACCGCGGAGGTTAAGCAGCTCTTGAGCTTGCACGACTTCATGGTGGAGTCACTCGGCGTTGTTGGCAAAGTGTCGGTGATTTCGCCCGAGGAGGAGGCGTCCTGTGTGCCGAAGGGCTGCGGCTTCTCCGTTGTGAGCAAGGAGGTGGGCATCAACATGATGCTTCTTGGTTTCATCGACGTGCCGAAGGAAGTGGGAAAGCTCGAGAAGCAGCTCGCCGGGCTGCAGAAGCAGATCGAGGGCCTCAAGAAGAAGATGTCCATCCCCGACTATGACACGAAGGTCCCTGCGGATGTGCGCCGCGCCAACAGCGAGAAACTGGAGGCACTAACGGAGCAAGAAAAGCAGCTTTCGGATGGGCTGGCGAAGATGAAGGCCATGCTGTAAGCGCAGGCGACTGGGAGAAGAGGAAAAAAAAATTCACGGAAAGAATGAATTAATGAGAGAAGCTGAGAGACATTTTTAACGATATAGTAATGGAGACAAAAAGAAAGCACAAAAAAAAATAGAATAGCGAGTGCATGTTTCACTTCCTATTGCCATTTACGGACGAGAGGACTTGAATGAGCTTCTAGCCTCCCGTCAGCAGCTGCGGCTTAAGTGCAATTCAATATAAACTCGGCGGAGGGAATCACACATCTTAAGGCCGGAGAGGAAAACTCCTGCCATTCTTTTTGCTCTAGTAGCGGCTTCATTGGTGAGGCGAGCGGGGTGCCGCGGCGTTGTCGCCCCTCCTTTGTCCCGGCGTGGCGCAGACGCTATTGTGACGGTCTCTTCATCCTGTGCCNTTTTTCTTCTTTAATGCATTTTGTGTTTTGTTTTTAAACAATAAATCAAAAAAATACTCACGCCAACGAAACAGGGGAACAAGTTTTTCTTTTTTTTTTATTTCGAGCTCTCACTCCGCGGCGGGACAATGACGGTTGACTGGTCGCTGTCGCAGGACAAGTACCCAGACTCCGTGCAGGCCCTGATGGCCGTGTGGGGTGGCTTCGACGCGCCGCGCGGCTCCGGCGACTGCGGCTTGGAGAAGCGGCTGGAGTTGGACTTCCGCGGCGTCGTCGTGCCCACCGCCATCATGGCGGAAGACGTGGCCGCCGTCATGTCGCACGCCGGTGAGGCGTTGGTGCGGCATTCTGTCCGCAAGGAGATCGTCACCTTTGAGTTCACCAAGAGCGTCGCCGTGCTCACGGATAACCGAATCGTGGTGACTGCCGCCTCATCTGTGCTGCTGCACGCGGTCCTACACCCGCTGCTGCGCCTCTTTGGCAAGCATGCAATTCAGGTGGAGTGGGCGTCCTTCATGCGCATGAACACCGCGTCACCGTGGACCGCAACGTGTGAGATGAGCGACATCATGGCGCAGGAGTATGCAGATTTGAAGTCAGCCTTTCCGTCGGGGCACCCGTACCTCACAGGCCCGGTTGACCGCGACCATTTCTTCTACTTTGTGTACGACGCCATTGACCGCAACCGCCCCGACGCGCGCTCGGAAGAAGATGTGCAGATCAACATCTATATGTACAACGTGAGGACAGACGACGACGGCATCGAGCCGGTCAAGAACATGCAGAAGGTAGTGCCGCTGTCGGAGGGGGAGTACAGGACTCTGCGTGTTGCCACAGAAGGCGCGGCGTACCCCTTCGCGTCCTTCGAGACGAATGCGGCGGCCGACGCGTTGAGTACCACCGCGGTGGTGACGGGGCTTGTCGAGAAGTACTCCCCGGACCGCTTCACAATGGTAGTGCTGCAGGACCGCAACAGCCACCTCGGCCGGCTGCGCCCCGTGTTCGACGACGTGGACGGCTACGCCATCATGAACCGCGCGGTCAACCACTTCGGTGAGGGCTACGCTTTCCATCAGGCCGTCTACACTCGCACTGAATAAATCTGCGAAGGAACGAATGCATGAAAAACAGTTGCATTTAGTTATGTTTCTGTGTGTCGATTCGTTCTTGTTTGTTTTTGTTTCGTTTTTTTTTTGTTTTGTTTCGTTGGGATAAATAAAGACATCCTTCCCCTTCTGTCATTTCTTGTGCCAGTTCACCGAGTTGTCTTCTTTGAAGCGCTCAACACCACTTTTGCTGTGGCCCCTTTTTCAGAAAAAAATTTCACATCGAACTGCTGAGCCGACTTCTTCCCCCGCGATTCTTTTCATCCCGCGCGCCTCCTACACGCCACGAAGTGTTTCTGTTGTACTGCGTGTGGCATCTTCATGCCGCTGCAGCGCTGCACAAACAGTGGCGATGGCGCGTGGCATCGGGAGTTGCACTGCGGCGGGTGTCTGTTTGTGTCAGTCTCTCTGTCTGTGGGTGGGTGTGCGTAGCAAAGAACTGAGTGGCACCCCAATCACACCCACGCGCGGAGAGACACACAAAACAAACAAAGATAAAAAGGAAACCCGTCCCTCTGCACTCTCCGTACCTGTATCAAATGATCATTAAATAAACCTCTACGGGGGGCATTTTTCTCTTCACCGTCGTGCCCGTTTCTCGTGGGCACACGGGCAGCTCGAACTGGCAGATAAGCGCCACCCTTCGTGAATGGTGATCTTCCGACAACACGCACACACACGTACGCACGTGCAGACTGAAGTTAAATTGCATATGGACGACTCTGTAATAGATACACACAAAAAGC